ACGCAAAATTTAAAAAATAATATTATACATCAAACACAAAATTCATACACATAGAGACAGAGAGAGAGACATGAAAGAGAGATAGATAGAGAGAGAGAGAGAGAGAGAGAGAGAGAGAGAGAGAGAGAGAGAGAGAGAGGAAGGGAGAGAGAGAGAAAGAGAGAGAGAGAAAGAGAGAGATAGAGAGATAGAGAGAGAGAAGAGAAAGAGAAAGAGAGCATAGCATTACAGACCAAGAAGCCATAATCTCAAGGCAAGTCCTATCATTACTATCATTCCATTTAATCAATAAACATGAAAACTGAAGCTTCGATTATTCTTCCTATTTTATTTTCATTCTCACACGCACGCGCACGCACACACACAAACACACACACACACACACACACACACACACATACACACACGCAAGCACACACACACACACACACACACACACACACACACACACACACAAACACATAAACACAAGCACACACTTATTCATATAGACATACTTTCAAAACGAATGCTCACATGACTCGATGAACTTCTTTTAAAGAAATGTAACCGATAACCTGGGAATTCCACCACGTCACAGTGTTATCGCATTGAACCTTACCCAGCAGGGTAAAAATTCTATTGGGAAAACCAAAGTTCTTGTTGGCTCCTAGGATGTCGCTGCAAACTTATCACTGTGCACAAATTGCTGGCCCTGTCTCCTCGCCAGCACTCCGCGTGTCGTCTGGAGCCTATAAAAGCGCATTTCCGTGAGAGAAGGAGCGCTGTCCAAGTTCTCCAACACTCCTATGGAAATAATGTCTGCCTCATTTCCGGCTTCACAACGCCCTTCACCTTCGATAAATATTGACCGGAAATAGCAATCGTGCCGCCTGAAGCTGAGAGAAAATAGACATTCACGACATCAAGCGGACGTGCAGCAAATAAGGAAGTGTGTCAAAACGTTGCTCTTTTTATGTCCCTTTAACACAATTTAGACACCCCCACTCTTTCACCATTTCTCATCGTTCCTCTATCACACCCACAGCCTTTTTTCTCCTGTCTCCATACTCCTATGTGTTCTGTATTCCCAGTCTATACCATAAGCTTCAATGATAGTTTACTCTCATTTGTCAAGACACACTCCACCATACGTTCTATCGTTATTCTGAATCTGATGCTGAACCAATAATAATTCAAATCTATTAATAAAGCCACCACATCTAGGTGTTACACGTATTTTCGCCTCAGACACCTCTATCTGTAAGTTTTTCTTTCTCATAATATGTTTGCATGCGTCCTCCTTAGTGTTTGAACCTGAATCAGAGCCATTAACTCTTACAAGAAGCAATAGTGTCCGACCAGCAGAAACCAAAAAACAATGTTGTTGGCTATTTCGAACCCTCATAGACAGACCAGAATCACGAGTTTGCTTATTTCATAGAAAATACATTTTGTTGCTTGACCGTCAAAGTTTCAGCTAAAGAAAAAAATCTGTATGAACAACAAAAATGTGTCCTAAAACAAGCTTTGTAGAATTACGAGATTTCGCATCCTCAATTATTTAAATCTTTAAAGGAAGTGGCAGACACATGCATAATCAACAGCAGACCAAAGGCAGAATAGTGGCACTATCACATACAAATCAGAATAACAAAATCCTATATATTTGATAGCACGCATATTGTTGCCTGCCTTTTAAAATCTGAAGTTAAGAATACATAATTGAACCCCCCCCCCCCAACTTAATGGGATAACAAATTCTGTTTTTTTAACTGCCCCCAAAACAGGGCACCTTTGGTTGTTGTCGAATGTCCAGAATAACGCCTTCAAAGAGTTAATAATTCATTTTTGAAGCACCAGCCATCTATGTCTAGGCGCTGTTAAAGTGTTCATAGCGTGACTGGCAACAATCTGTGACCACGTGTAAGAGGTTAAGATCTATCATGTCTTGGGGGGAAGGTTGTCTTTTTTACTTCTGTTATTTTTCTGACGATGTTTTCTATAAATCCAGTTTTTTGTGTGGAATTTCGCACAGCGTAGTTGACGTCCTCACAGAACATTAGATACGGTATGCTGTTGAAACTGCCAGAGGCTACATAGTTCGAGAAATTCTTTAATGACCAAAAAATGAAATAAAAGCTTCAACCACATACACGAAAATACATTCGATGTTGCTTGTTGAAGAAGGGCTTTGCCACATAACGTCTAATATATATTTCTTATGTTGATGCTCTTAATCAATATTCTTTTGTATTTTCTTCTAGTGACATAACATTCTCTCCCCTTTTTTGTCTAAGTGGGCGTTAACATCATGTTGTTGCAAAAGTGTAACGGAAAATTTCTCTGTAGTATTGCACAGTCTCAGCATCGTGCAAAGAGGTTATCAACCAGACTGTTTTACGTTTACTGGCGTCTGAGATAGCACGTTTTGCATGCTGACACATTGAGAGCGCAGATTCTGTTTATTCGGCTTTAGGGTATGAATAAAGAAATTACAAGCAGAATAGCTAATCATATTATAATTATTTTTTTCGACTTTGTTTTCTTTGTCTGAAACCCAAAAATGACACATACATTATGAAATATACACATTAGTACTGTTGGCTAGATCTCTCGAATGTGGCGCAACAAGGGTTTTGGTCTGCTGATGGACATAATGTTATGTGTCTGCTAAATCCTTAACAGAGTTAACCGAAAGACGTGGGCTGAGTCATCCCCTCTGTGGAGATATTTTATTTAACATCTAGGTCTTTCTGCAGGAGTACAGCTTTTGTTCAATCAACCTGTACAGGCCCTGATAGGCTGTGTCCAATGTAGACGGAGCGACAAGGTTTAGAAAAATAATGTTTCTTAGGTGTTCATAGAAAAATCTGAGTGAAAAAAATAATCATGTGGGCTTGGGAAGCTGTATATATTTGGAACCCAGTAATGCATGAGATTTAAAAAATGTTTTTGATCATGTTAGGTATGATGTCTAACAAACTATACCATTTTATGCAACTCTTACAACTCAAAACTCAGTCATTGCAAACAAAGCATCTGCCATTGGGAAATGGAGGGTTTCTTCAGTCATATTTGCTTTTATATAGGCCTGTCATTCAACGTATATCTAGCTGGATCAAGGTTGAAACGTTTAGAAGGATTTCATAACTCGTAAGTATCAATTCATTGGAAATGTTATTGTCTGTTCAGACTTCATCTCTTAGTAGTCATGGCAGTTATGACAACAAAATCTTAAACTAAGTTTCCTGATGTTGTTTTATTGTGAAATATTATTATGCAAGGAAAATAAATAATTAGTAATTTGTATTCATGGATTTTCCCTCTGACGTAAAAAATTATATGTCTAGAAAGTCAAGAATATCACATACGGCCATGTACTAGCTTTCCTCGACTCTGGGGAAACACTAAAGGAGTCAGGAGGTCTTTTCGAGAAAAATAAAAGAAACGGAAACGCAAAACCGAAAAAGACCCCAACTGAACTTAAGCATGATGTACAGCCAAGTCTGGGTAATTTGCAAAGGCCATATGTCTGATTTATAACTGTCCAGACATTTCATCCACATTGTATGTTCTGTAGTCTTCCCTGGCGTGTGTCTTTATACTGTTCTGTTTTTTTATGGTTTTTTTTCTTCAAAATGTGACGCAGACCGTATAGTTTAAAAAATCCCATCCATTATAAAACATGTGAGACTTCGACTCAAAGAGATTCTACTCTCTAAGACGGTACAGTTGGGGCTATGTTTAGCCTCAGGACATTGTTATTTCTCTCTTGTTAGTTGCAACTGGCTGGCTAAAATGTATTTTGCCTTTTTTGTAAGCAAATACAAAATGTATTATTTTTCTCAACAGAGCAATTTCATCATGCTCTTCTGATAAAATACCCATTCAGTTACAAATTTGTACATAATAAAAGATGAACTTTCGTCTCATAATGAGGAGAGCGTCTGCCATTTTTTGGTTACACAAATCAATGTTTTGTTTATCCTTTTATTTGCTCCTAACATTATTGCTGGTTTTGTCTAGCGACTTAGTTGTCCTGCCTGTCTGGGATCATTGTGCAGTTCGCCTTGCCTCTAAAAAATCTGTGTAATCGAAAATCATTGGGTAAATGCGTAATCATGCATTATTCTTTCGCAGACAGTAAGACCCAAATCTCCCACGTTTGAAAAAAAAAGTTAACCAAACAAAACCGCAACAGAGTATGAAAACAGAAAACACTTTTTAAGAAACTGGTTATCGTCTTCTAACTGAAAAGCTTGTAAAGCCGCAAATCTTCTTAATTGACCGTTAGCGTACCCTTTTTATTCGACCCCTGTCTTATTACAATGCTTGACCAAAGAAATATTCTTCGTAAAGGAGCAAATTTAAAAAGGCTTTGGAGAGTCTTTTTGAATTCAAAGAATTCCCATTAGCATACCCTTTCTATACGACCCTGTCTTATTACATTGCTTGACCAAAGAAATATTTTTTGTTTACGAACAAAACGGCTTTGGAGTGTCCTCTTGAATTCAAAGAATTCCCATTTGAATATGAAAATATAACCCATTTAGAAGCTTAAAATAGAATAGACGTAGACTAAAATACATTAAAAATTATTAGATTATTGAGAAATGGACCCAAAAAAAAACTGTCATAAAGGATCGTGAGAAATGATGGAGTCTTCAGATTCCGTACGAAACTTTAAATATTTCCCTTTTAAAAAAAAAGGAAAAAAAAAAAAAAAGGAAAAAAACCCCCACTCCCTCGATTACCCGCCCTTCCCTTTCTCTTCCACACACACGATAAGCAATTCTTCCATTTCTCAAGCAAAGAGATAAAGCATACAAATAAAACCGAAATAAATACTACGCAATATTGTGAAACAACAACAACCTACACCACCACTATCACAATAACAACAATTACGATTAGAAAATATTGATAACAAGAAAAAAGAAGAAGTAGAAGAAGAAGAACAACAACAACAACAACAAAAATAATGACAACAACAACAACAACAACAACAACAACAACAACAACAACAACAACTACAAAAACAGCATCAACTTCGCATTGTCACAACCAACAACCTGGACGACAAAAATAGACAGACTCGCAACCAAACTGAAGGAGTCGGTCTCTGCTGTACGACCCGATGAGCCTAAGGTTGTGGGAAAACATGATGGCCAGCCATCAAGACCCTGCGTGTGTTGCACTAAATGTGAAAGAAGGAACACGTCATTTCGAGAAGTCTGTGGAGCTCTCAAAACGCTTTTCCTGTCTAGTTATCCAAAGTGAGGACGATAACAAATGAGAGGTGAAAAAAGATGATTAAAGTGTTGGTTTCAATAGGGTCGCTCCGAGGTTTCCGCCATATCCACTATGTTAGTTGCCACTCTTTTGAAAGTGCTAAGTTGAATTTTTCAAAGTAACACCTCGCCACTCACACTTCAAAATACAACTTGTGCTAAAACTGTATAAAAGAAATAGGACCTGGGCTTTCGTTCGATTTAGTGGTATAAATCTCCATAACACCCGACATGATTGTTTATTTTATTGTCAACCAACGGTACAAATAATGTCCTGAGACCAAAATTTTAATTTGCATATTGCAGTTTCTTAATCTTTGGCGTCTTTGGCTGCATATGCTCTAGAAATGATTTTTTTTTTCAGAGGTGATATTGAAAAAAGCAAGAAAAGGTACAGAATATAAGTACCATTTCTAAAAGGATAAATCAATATTTCCTCTCTTTTGAAAAAAAATGTTTTCTGGACTTAGAACACCTCAACAGAGTACTAACGATATGTACGTTTCATAACAAAATTATATACATTATGATTATGTTTTGGGTTTGACTGACTTGCTTTCTGACATTCAACTCTGAATGCAAAATCTTTTGCAAGGACACTTTCCCGTCGGGGAAAATAAAGCCATAAGAAAGATATCTTATTTCATCAAAATAATCTCGTCCTGTGTAAAAGTACTCCAGATTGTTCTTTTACTTAGACTAAAAAGAAATTCACGTACATTTCAAGAAAAGTTCATAAATATATCGCTTTCTTGTCTTGGAAATGAGTCGAGCAAAACAGTGCGCATAATGCTGTACAAGAGAGAACACTATCATAGTTCAGTAGCAAGAAACAAATATGAATAGTAATCAAATCACAATCAAACTAGGATTTCCCCCGTCCATTTGACAAACAAAATATACAGATTTGACCAAATAGGAGCGACTATTATCTGCTCTTATTTAGTAACGACAAGAATATAATGATGAATACACGACAAGTGTCCCATTATTCTCAATATAGAGTAGCTAACAGTCATAATGGTTAAAAGAGGTAAATCCCTTGCCTCCATTTTCAGTGCATGAAATTGGACCAGGTTACTACTGTTGACTGCTAGTATTACGTCAATAAATTATTCACAGTAGTAAACGACAAGACAAACATGAGAGCGTCAGGGGCTGTCTCATTTTCTTTACCCTGATGAGTAAGCAGAAAAGACGAGATCCCAGGGTCTATTCTTCTGTAGACGTCTTCGACCAATACTGAGTACCTATAACATTCTAGTTATCAAGACTTCAGTACGGTCTGTAGGGCCATTGGCCACATCAAGTCTGACGTCATTGTCAAGGTTGTCCCCAGCACCAACAGGTGATCACAACACTGGGGGTGTTCAGATACGTCTGTGGTGACGACCAATCTGACTCGTGGCCAATAGAAAACAAGGGAGTAGTAGTCACGACTTCCATAAAGTCGTATTCTTCTAACGGTTCTCGAGCTTGTTGGACTCAGAGGTCCCTCTGGATGTGGTGGTTATTCCTCCCCCGTGTGGACATCGGGTGCATGCGGTACATGGAGGCCGTGGGCGTGCTCACGTGGTCGTCCAGGCTCTCCACGGTCGTGTGGAGGAGGGAGCCGTTCTTCTCCCCTCGCTCACTGCCCAGAGACATGCGCGTGCTGTAGAAGCCTCGCTCCATGACCAGCAGATGGTGGCGCCGCCGGCACGCGCGACATGGGCAAAAGCGGAAGAAACGGAGGAATCCCTGGCGGAATCTGTGGAGAGGGAGAAGGAGGGAGCTGGGGTTAGTTGGCGTCTACCTAGGGACAAAGTGTCTCTCTGTTTTTGATATTTGTTTCTGAGATGTCTCTGGCGTGGGCGGCTCTTTTACTGCTCTACTGAGGTACAATTACTTTGATTCTTTTGACGAGAGCCTGATTCCACCACGCTGCCTCACATATTATTTTTGTTAATAAGACGACTACACATTAAGAAATACCAACTCCTGCATTTCATACTCTACCATTTTCGTTATTGGTTACCGCGTCTGAGCTGGGGGTTTTTGGCCCCTTGTCCTAACTTTTTGGTGTCATGCTATTGATCTTATTTGTATCAGACAATCAATCACTACAAGAATGTGAGTGAGTACATATAATGACACTTCAGTACTAGGATAAAACAATAAGAAAACATTTAAAAAATGATAAGATCTTTTCATTAGTGCGTAAGCATTTAATTCATTTGTGCTTTATCCTCTAGCTTTTGTCGCATATTCTAGCACACTCCTCGTCTTCTGTCCTGGGGGTGGAATACATACTCCTTTCCAACTTTCCTCACATCGAGTAGCCAGATTTATAAACTACTTATTGGTGTATTGGTGACGTTCTTAAGATGTTAAGTATAATAATGTTTGGTGATCAGAGACCCATGGCGACTCCTATATCCCATGAGGTAGTGTCACACTCAGTATTTAAGTCTTTTTTTTTCTCTTTTGGGGATCTCTCTATAAGGGTAGCACTTTTACTTTTCTTCTGTGATACTGTTATCCAAATCGATTGTATGCGGATTTAGAAAAATGCTCTTTCTCTTTATTCATCCGTTTTGGAGATTTGTTCACTAACAAAACAGGTACAAAATGAGAGACACAAATAGAAAGATGAGTAACGGTGGATGGAATGGACCTGAAATGAAAAGCTAAGCTTTGTCGAGACAAGAAAAAAAATTAGACTATTTCAAGATTGAAAAGTGAATATCATGTATTTAAAAATAGAAAATACAGGCTGTGTCAAAAGTGACAAGCTATTTATTTTAGAAATCTACGACAATGCCAAGACTGTTTTGTCAAGTAATCACGGTTCGAAAAGCAGAACACTGAATTCCAGGGGCTAGAGGTTATACATGAGTCGGTATTAAATTGTTCATGGATAGTTTCTTTAACCAAAATAAATTTCTTTTGTGTCGTCTGTATGACTTTGTACCTGCCTAGGTCCGACAAAGATAATTAAATAAAAGGTATTTTTGCTCTTATATGTAGCCAGTATAATATTAATTAAGATTATAGTATAAACGTAAAAACGTAAAAGAGCTACTGCAATCAAAGATCCTGGATGTAGAGAAAGAAACTAAAACACTAACTCTAACACAAATTCAAGGGATGCTGGAACAGCTTTGGATCTATATTTACTCAGACACGATAACCAACACTGGAAATAATTGGTTTGTATGAGATTTACTTCATCGTTAATCACATGTGGTGATAGCGAAAAGAAAAATGTGTAGTGCAAGAAGAAAACTGGGAATCAAGCCGGTTTGAACACGTTTATAGAGACTTGACGGAACACATTCATGCTAAAGTTGTGATAGGAAATGATACAACGTTAAGAGGAGTAACTCTAACTAGTTGTCTTCCGAGTAAGGTCACGTACTTGTGATGAGAAGAGGTATTATGAAATAGAAGTTCTTTGGGGGCAGAGCTATGAGGGATCCGGTGGAGAGGAGAATACAAAGTGGTTTTAGTATACATTTAAAGCTCTTTTTAACCCAGATTGAATCGAGAGACAATATGTCACCGTTTTTTACATGTGGTAAGCATAGATATAAATGTCAGTCAAGAATGAAAACTAACTAATATATAGATAGACAAAAATACAAAATTAATATTACTCAAAATAGTAAGATGAACACGTCGAAAAAGGAAAAGCAAATTAAAAAGCATTAATTTAGAGCTAAACTGACGTGAACAGCCAGAATATGAGATGGAGCATTAACAGAAAAGCCAGTCTGGTCAGCAACTGTCTGTTTATCAGCTTCTTATGAGTTTTGTGATTGGTTGTCAAGAGTAGTAAGAGAGCTTTGAGGTTACAGGTAGATAGAGATTATGAAGCAATGGGTGTGGTGTTTAAAAAAAATGTTTTTCGAAGTGAGTGGGGTTGTCGTGCAAGGGGCAACAATGAACTTATAGGTAATTCCATTTAGACTGAAAAAGTGGTTTAAAAAATAAACACACTTATTTGCAAATATTATTGATTTTCACAGGTAGATATTTCTTCTTTTGAATTTGGAGACAGTTGTAGTAATGAGAAACAGTTGAGTTGACCTGGTATTTGAGCGCTCGTGTGAGTGTATGCTTGTGTATGTGTGTGTGTGTGCGTGCGTGTGTGTGTGTGTGTGTGTGTGTGTGTGTGTGTGTGTGTGTGTGTGTGTGTGTGTTTGTGAGTATGTTTGTGTAAGGGTACGTGTTATCTAGCAACAGTGCTGAAAATACAATAATTAAAATCAGGGTAAATATGAACTTTTATAGGTCAAAAACATTTGGCCAATAGGAAGCAAACTCTCCCTTCAAGGGCTTTCTCCATCCCCCCCCCCCCCCCCCACCCCGCTACCAAGAGGTTAAGCCAGAGAATCTAACACGGCTATAACACAACATTATTGAGATGTATATGAAGAAAAGGTGTTCTGAAGCTAATAACAACATACGTAATCTATAAAGTTAGGTTATTATGCTTTATTTTATACACAATACCTGAGTTTTCTTTTCCACGTACAGGCGTGATTGTGAAACGAACTAACACCTATTTTTAACCATGGAAATCAGTAATTGGTATATCTCTAGGACGGAAGATTTGTGTTTCAAGAAATCATACAAGGGCGCGCATACTATTATGAGCCTATCACATCAAGACATTTAAAGAAATAGCTAAAGCAGGTGCAACATTCTCATTGACACCGACGTCTGTGGTGTAGAGTTTATGAGCTTTATTTTCGTACGCAGGACACTCGGGTTCAGTTTCCTTATGGAGTGAATTTATATTGAGTATTTTCGTAAAACACCAACATTACGAAAAAAAATGTTATTAGTTGCCAGAAATAGCTGTGGAAAAACATGGTTTCTTCTTGGTGGAATCAGGTCTTACATCATTATTAAAAAGCATATTATGGAGATTTTGGTAGCATCTTTAAGCCTATTCAGTATTTGCCTGCTCTAGATGAAAGAAATTCACCTATCTGTAATCAAAGTCGAGATAGGGGTTGCCTTGTGTCAGAGATAAAATTAGCGAGAAAATGGTCACCAAGATGTCATGCTTTGTAAAGCTTGAGTGTTTTTGGAAACTGTAAATTTGCATTTTTTGTGTGATATTGTTCAGAAAACAAAAAGAAACAAAATAAATTATGAACACAGGTCTTCAGCAAGACATAAAAGTGGGGCATCGTACTGAAAACGGCATTCTTCAGCCCAATGAGCAATATTTGGAGAACTTTAAAAAAAATGGATCTGCATATTTTACGTCCATTTCTGTATGGATGTTATTAAAAATAAAACCATTGATAAAAGGAAAAAAAACTGCACATTTGCAATTTGAAAGTCACTCACTTTGGCGGCCATTTTCGTGCTTATTTTGACTGTGATACCAGGGACCCCCTCCTCCTTTAACAGCAAATGTCTCGAATTTTATTAAAATATAAACAAACAAAGGGGTAAGCCAAGCCACAACTGGCACGTGTGGCAACATGCTTTGAAAGTTTAAAAAACTTTTATTCCGAAGACAAACATTGAGGTTACATCCACAAAACATCAACGTACTCTCTTAATAATAGTAACAGTTATTGTGAAAATATTCTGCGTTGGTGTTATATTGTGTATAATTTACGTATTTTAATCGTGTATGTATTTATGTATATATGTATTTATAACCATGTATTTATGTATATATGTATTTATAATCATGTATTTATGTATATATGTATTTATAATCATGTATTTATGTATGTTTGTATGGTTGCCATTGTAAACCAAATTGCCCTTCTGTGGAGCAAAAAAATTATGTGATTTATTATTTTTTTATTTATTAATTATTTTCGCGTTTTCAATGTAAGAGTGTATCTCCATAATAGACACCACCCGTCATTTTGATGACTGGTCCAGCAATTTGTGCCAAAAAAGAAACGAAAGGAGAAAAGGTGGCAACTAGACACAAGATAGGCTCATCTGAAAATAGTATGGGCCAGCTGTATTCTTTAAATAATTTGTAGTAACCACTGACTGAACCAAACTGGGGCTGTTCTTAAATTATAACTGACATTGTTCTATTACCTGAACCATTAATTAACCCTCATGTCGCTTTTCATGGAAGAAACGCTCACATAACAAGATTGAGAAATATTCAGATGTGTACTAAATGTGAGGCAGCGTGGTGGAATCAGGCTCTCGTCAAAATAATCAAAGTGTAGAAACTTGCATTTTTGCGAAGGTTTGTGAATTTTTATCAAATTTTTGTTTTTGGGCTCAACACCTTTCAGGCCCATTAAAGAACTTATTTTTGTCTGAATGTTTGAGAAAAACGTTGATTTAAGGCACAAAAAAATGTTAATTTTCAGTTACCACGGACTCTAAAGCTAAGGAAATAACTAATCTTTGGCGGCCATTTTCTCACTAATTTTACCTCTGAAAACAGTGACCCCCACCTCCTTCATTCTCAAATATCTCGACTTATAGTTAAAATAAATCGATATTGTTTTCGTCCAAATAAAGACAAGTGAACAAGCTTTAAGATAATACCAATAACTCTACATGCCCTAAAATTGACGAGAGCCTGATTCCATCACGCTGCCTCACAAATGTCTTTCAGCACCATCCAAAAGGCCTTAACCCGTACGTTTGCAAATGTTACCTTTTCAAAAAGCGATGATTTAATTTTTCTATTTGGTATAAGGCGTTACAAAAGCTATGAACCTCCAATCCCTAAAATACAACATTTAGTATAAAACTGCAGAAAAA